CAACCCTTAATGCTATTAAACTCTTATGAAAAAATTTTATCATCATCATTTAAGCATCATCATTTCCATCATCATCATCATCATTATTATATTTTTTTTACTAGAAAATTTTCTTTAATAATAAATAATATAAAAAACAAAGTTAAAGCTTAAAAAAAAAATTTTCCTGACGTAAACTTTCCCTGGCAAAAAGATTTTTAACAATATATAATGAAGTTATTATTTTAATGCATAATCAGTGGCGTAATGAGATAAATAAAATTAAATAAAACAACAAAATCAGTCAGTCAGTTAGTCAGTCAGTGGGTGACTATTAAAGGCGCCGATTTAATGACGCGTCAAAATTCATCATCATCATCATCATCATCGTCATCGTAATTAATTTTTTTTTTTTTTTCAACTAATAATTTTTTTATTAATTAATAAATTTCGATTAAATTGTTTTTATAAATAAAATACAAACAAAAAAAAAATTAATTAATTGTTTTACTCGAGCATGAAAATAATAATAATAATAATAATAAAATAAAAATGGCTTCCGTGTAATAATAATAATAATAATAATAATAATAATAATAATAATAATAATAATAATAATAATAATAATAATAATAATAATAATAATAATAATAATAATAATAATGAATTCTCGTCATTTCCCATTATCGAACCATATGCAAATCACGATTAAATTATATTTTTATTTATTTATTTATTTATTTAAACGATTTAAAATTCTAATAAATAAATCGATAATGATAATAATAATAATAATAATAATAATAATAATAATAATAATATTTATTTATTTTTTATTTAAATAAGAAACGCGTAAAAAAAAAAAAAACGAAAAATTTCAAAAACTTTTTCCCCGTTTGTTTATTTATTTATTTATTTATATTTTTATATTCGAAATTCAATTTAAAAAATTTTTAAAACTTTTTAATTTTATTAAATAATAATAATAATAATAATAATAATAATAATAATAATAATAATAATAATAATAATAATAATAATAATAGTAATAATAATAATAATAATATATACCGATTTTATTACATAATAGCAATTTATTAAAAAAAAAAAACTTTTCAAATCGATTCGTACACGTGATTTTTTTTATTGTTACGGGAGGGGGAAGGGGGAAGCCAAAAACGAAACGAGTTATTATTATTATTATTATTATTATTATTATTATTATTATTATTATCATCGTCTTCGTTATTATAATTAAAAAAGGCGAATAATGAAAAAACAATAAAATCTCATTTAAAAATAAAAACCCGAGAAAAGGAACGACGATGATGGTAAAAAGACGAGCGTGTGGGTTTCATTATGACAAAAAAAAAAAAAAAAAAAGAAAGAGGGGAGGAAGAAAAAAATGACGTGGAAATAGATAAAAAATAATCGGGAATTTTGTTTCAACGTTAAATAAGACAAGCGAAAGAGAAAGAAAGACAACCGAAAATTTCAATTTAACACAAGACTAAATTTATATTAATTCGTTTTTTTTTTTTAATTACTTTTATTATTATTATCATTATCATCATTATTATTTTTTTTTCAGACGTTAAAAAAGAAATGAACGTAATAAATATGGATTCGGAGAACCGTGTGGTTCTTAACGTCGGTGGAATCCGACACGAAACATACAAAGCAACGTTAAAAAAAATTCCAGCCACGAGATTATCCAGATTGACGGAAGCTCTCGCTAATTACGATCCCGTTTTAAATGAATATTTTTTCGACAGGCATCCCGGAGTTTTTGCTCAAGTCCTTAATTACTACAGGTGATCATTCGTTACATTAATATCTCATTCACGAAAACAATACAATAATAATAATAATAATAAAATTTTAATTTAAGAACTGGAAAACTTCACTATCCTATGGACGTATGCGGGCCTTTATTTGAAGAAGAATTAGAATTTTGGGGACTCGATGCGAATCAAGTCGAACCTTGCTGTTGGATGACGTATACACAGGTACGAAACTCAAACGACCGCCATTTTGTTTTTTTTTTTTTTTTTTGGCATCTTTTTCCCGGTTCAAATTGAACAAACTAATAGAAAATTAACCTTTTGAACTTTTACAACACGTTAACGACTGGATAATATATATAAAAAAAATTTTTTTTTTTTTTGGCATCGAATTCAACGTCCCTTTTCCACCCTCTCTAATCTCCCCCTCCTCCCCCATTTTGTCCCTCACTTTCCCCCTCGAAAAAAAATAAAGTAAAAATGAAAATTTAATTCGATTGATTAATGACACGAAAAAAAAAGAGAGTGACTTTCTCTCACGGCCATTTCCGGCGTAAGAAATTTTTCGCGCGCGAATTTTAAAAATAAATTACCAACGATTAATAATAATAATAATAATGATTCATCTGACAATTTTAATAAATTTCTATTATTATTTAACATCGTCTGCTAATCAACTCAGGTAACAATAATATAATAATAATAATGATGATGATGATGATGATGATGATGATATTAATTTTTTTTGATGTAATAAAAACGCGGGATTACGTAAATTAATAATAATAATAATATTTTCTTTTGAAAATTTTATTCTAACGATTTTCCAATACGGATTAAATAGAAAACGTAAAATAATAATAATAATAATAATAATAATAATAATAATAATAATAATAATAATAATAATAATTAATAATCGTTATTTTTGAAAGGGAAAAGGAAAAAAAGAAAAATTCGTTATTTAAATCGTAATCTTTTTTTTTAGTAATAGATAGATTCGGAGCTCATCGTTTTTTTTTTTTTTTGTAAATAATTAATTTTGTTGTTATTATTATTATTATTATTGTTATTCATTCGAAATGATTAATTAACGGATTTAAAAACGATTTTTTCTCACGCTCAGAAAAACGAAATTTGTCTGTTGTTTCCTTTTTTTCGTCCCAAAAATAAATGAAATTCGTTTGGATATATCTTTACATATAAATAATGACGTCATTAAAAAAAAAAATCCGCCATTTTGAATTATTATTTTTTTTTGGTTTTAAATTGCAATTAACATCAACGTACATCTTCGGTCGTTTTCGGATTTTTATTTTTTATTTTTTTTTCCCAAGGAAAATTTCAACCAATCGGAAATGAGTTAAAAAAAAATTAAATAAATTTAAAGAAGAACGATTATTCACATTGTTTACAATTTAAATGATCATATCAATTAAGGAGTAAAATACTAAAAAAAATGATGAGAATGGAAAAAATTTGAATTTTAACGGTTTCGAATTTTATGACGTAATCAACGATCGTTTTTTCTTTGTTCTCTCCGTCGGGAAATTTTTTTTTTTTTTTTTTTTTTTAAATCTACTTAAGAAATTTTATAAGTGAGACGTTTTTTGTCGAAATAATAAGTGGTCGTTTTTTTTATTAAATAAAAAAAAAAAATTGGCGGAATCAGCGTTATGACGTCATTAAAAAAAAATCAATTACTTCCGTTTCCACGTTTTTCCATCAAATTTAATTCATTGATTTTTTTTTTTTTTTACATTACAAGTACGTACAGATAACGAATTTAATTCGAATTTATTTATGCGCCGATAAATTTCGCGTACGATCGTGGGGAGGGGGAGGAGGGGGAGGAAAAAAACCGTTAGAAGAGCAGACATACGTTTTATTTACATGGAAAAAGAAAATTATTTAATCGGGTGTTTCGCGTTTTTTTTTTAATCCGATAGCGACAAATTTCGAATGTGACGTTATCGAGCTCTACCGGTGAGTAAAAGAGATAAAAGTGACAGGAAGGAGGGGAGGGGAAGGGAGAGCGGGGAATTCAGGTAAACATGTACCGGATACAAACGAACAAAAACGGAAGTTGAAATATCCAACCATGTGAAAATAAACAATCATTCAATAGATTGAAAATTGTTTTTCTTTCCTTACCGGGGAGTAAGAAAGAAAAGTTTTCATTTAATAAAACGAGTTTTATCGATAATCATTTTGTAATCTTTTAACAACAAAACTTTTTTAAAAAAGAAAATTCTTTTCGTTCCAGACACGTTCCTTAGTTTAACGAGAAAAAGACAAACAAAAAAAAACCGTTAATCAAGTTTTCCTTTTTCCCTTTTGTTTCCTAACGAATTTTTTGTCACGCGAGCTTTTAGCTTTCAAGTGGCACTAAGAAGAGAGAGAGAGAGAGAGAGAGAGAGAGAAAACATGACAAAAGATAAATTTGAATAAATGAACAATACATTTTTTAACAAGTTAATAATGATGATGATGATGATAATTAGAAAACGCGTTGTAATTAAACCTGGAATTTGTTTGAATGGATAGAAAATTGATGAGATACTAAAACAGAGAGAGAGAGAGAGAGAGAGAATGAAAAAGCAAAATGGAGAACTGAAAGAGTAGTTGTTATGTAGTAATTGAGATGAAAAGTGAGTGAGAGAGAGAGAGATAGAGAGAGAGAGATAGAGAGAAAGAGAGAAAATGAAAATGAAACGTAGAGTTTAATAATTGACAAATATTAAATGACAAAAATATTCTCTTTGACTCATTGGAATTTCAAATTAAAAAAAAAAAATTTTTTTTTTTTTCAAACAAATTTTAATTAAAAAATATTGCCGATCCCGCGCACACAAACACGCACTCGTAAACTCAAGCCGAAAAAAAAAGTCAAAAGAATTCAAACGAATATATAAACAAAAAAAACGAGATTCATTCATTCATTCATTCATTCATTAATTGATTGATTGATTGATTGATTCGACTGATTTTTTTTCCCACGAATTTTAAAATGATAATAATAAAAATCTGGAGAAATATTTTATTTTTTCTTTTCGTTTTGCTTTGTTACAAAAAAAGAAAATAATAATAATAATAAAAATAATAATAATAATAAAATATGGAAGAGAGCTTTAAAAAAAAAATTTTTTTGTTTTTTTTTTTCTCCAGAATTAAAAAAAAAAAAAAGAAAAAATTAATTAATTAAAAAGTTTTAATTTTTTTTTTTAACTAAAAAAACGTAAATTTAAAAATAAAAAATTATTATTATTATTATTATCATAACGAAGGCTTAAAAAAAAAAAAGAATGATGATGATGACGATGACGATACGTTTGATGACGGAGTCTGAACGATCGACTAATCACAGAATTCAAAAATTTATTAAATACAATATCACCACAAATTCTTTTTCCGCAATGTGAAATTACATTTCCATAATAATAATAATAATATTAATTATTATTATTATTATTTAAAACGAAGAAAGAAATCCTTCAGGCGTTTTTTTTTTTTTTTTTTTTCGTTATTTATTTTTAATAAAACTCGATTCACTAACGAAAATTCATTTTTATTACGAAACGTATATATATAGACGAATTTATTATTATTATTATTATTATTATCGTCTCGTGAGGAAAATAAACGAAAGATAAATTTTCGGGGCCTCCTCTTTTTTTCCCCCTCTCCCTCCTATTAGACGGGAGAAATTGCCATCTTTAGATATTTAATAAATGTATTCGAACCGAAATTAAAAATTTTCCGTTTGTTACTTCCGGTTTTATTCAAAGATCGATAAACTCGAGAAAATTTCTTTTTTTTTTTTTTATATTCATAACGGAAATGACGTTTACACAAACATGACGGGTTACAAACGATTTCATTCGACGTATTATTATTATTATTAATATTAAAACGATTGAAAAATAAATTCCCGAAAGGTAAAATTTCAAGATGGAGAAATTATTAATATTAAAAAAAAAAACTCACCGAAAACATGTCCGCCATTTTTTTTTTTTTCACGTGAACCTCTTTTCCGAGTTTTCGCAACGTCGCATAAATTTTTTTCTTTTTGTTTTCTTCAAACCCTAAAAAAAAATCAGATTGTTTGTAAACATAATAAACAACATGGCTGACAAGGGGAAAACATAATTTAGTTTCGTGTGGTTGGCACTACTGAATAATAAGAAGTTTCAAAACGGGTCAAATCTTATGTATTATCAATACGTCAAATGAATCTGATAAAAATTTTAAGGAAACAAGGGTAACAAAGGGAGGGGAAAAAACAAAATGGCGTTTTCCAGGACGTATTTTTCCAGGACGAATCAAAGTCTGGAATTTGATTTTAAGATTAGAAAAAAAAAACAAATTGAAAAATAAAACAAACATTTCCGTCGTCGTGACTAATATACTCTTTCATATCAATCTGATCGAAATTTTCTTTTGGACCACAAAAAAAAATTCTGGAAAAATAATAATAATAATAATAATAATAATTAATTTTCCAAAATTTCGGTTCAATTAAATTTATAAAATGACCGATAAAATAAATAAATAAATAAATAAATAAAAAGAATTTATTTGATTTTTATTCAAGGATTTAAATCCCTGTTATAAAAAAGATTATTTTAAATGAAATCAAGATGTTTCTTTGTTAAGACGAATAATAACCTCGTAGACGTTTATGGGAAAATCATAAAAATAAAGTAAAATTCAAAGGATGGGTGAGAGGAGAAGAAGAGAGAGAGGGAGGGAGGGAAGAGGGGAGAAGAAGAGGAATGAGAAAGTAGTAAAAGGAAAAATATGGAGATGAAATGGAAAAGCTGTGTTAAAAAAAAAAAAAGGTTTTGAATTTAAAACTGTAAAAATTACAAAATCATAAAAAAAAACAAAAAAGAAAAACAAAAAACTAAAAATCGTTTGAGGAGAAGGGGGGAAAGTTGGAGTGGGGATGAAATCGAATTACGACAATCGATTTATTTCGATATAAAAAAATTAATCGATCGATTATTTATTTTATCTTTTTTTTAAATTTTTTTAAATACGGATTGAAAAAAAATTTCTTTTTCTTTCATTTTTTTCTCTTTTTTTCTTTCTTTTCTCTCTCTCTCTCTTTTTCTTTCATTTTTCTCTTTCTTTTACTTTCGTTTCTCTCTCTCTCTCTCATTTTTTCTCTTTCATTTATTTCCCTTTTTTTTATTTTTCTCTCTCTCTCTCTTTTTCTTTCATTTTTCTCTTTCTTTTACTTTCGTTTCTCTCTCTCTCATTTTTTCTCTTTCATTTATTTCCCTTTTTTTTTATTCTTCTCTCTTTTTTTGTTTATTTCTCTCTCTTTCTGTATTTTTTTTTCCTTCCATTTTTTTCTTTCTCTTTTTTTTCATTTCGCTCTTTCTCTCTCTTTTTTTTTTCTTTCATTTTTCTCCTTCAATTCTTTCTCTTTTTTCTCTTTTTTTTTCTCTTTTTTTTCTCTTATTTTTCTCTAACTTTTTTTTTTTTTTATTTCACTTCCTCTTTGTATTTTTTTCTTCCATTTTTTCTTTCTCTTTTTTTTTCTCTTATTTTTCTATCTTTTTTTCTTTTGTTTCTCTTTTTTTCTTTCATTTCTCTCTCTCTCTCCTTCTCTCTCTCGTTTTTTAAATTTCATATTTTCATCTTTTTTGTTGACTTTTCCGTTTTTGTTTTTTTTTATTTTTCAACCTGTTTTTATTTCTCTCTTTCTCTCTGTCCCTTTTGTTTCCATTATTTATTTTTTCTTTCTTTTTTTATTTATACATTTTCCTTATCTACTAATTTCCTTTCTCTCTTCTTCTCATTCTACTCCTTATTTTATTTTTATTTTTTTCATTTTCCAGAAATTTTTTTTTTTACTTTTTCTTTCTCAGTCATTAACTCATTTTTTTTTCTTTTTTTCTCACCATTTATTTTTTATTATTATTTATCATTCTCTCTTTTTTTTCTGTTACTCTCTCTC